TTCTGGATACCGCAGAAATATTATATCATTTTTATGTGCTCAAACTGACTCCCTTCTGATTGCATAGAATACAGAATAGCAATTGGCATTTTTGGAAAAGTGTAAAAATCAACACTTTGTTAAACAAAGAAAAACAACAAAATTTTATATCTAGTAGTTGATATATTCAATTTAAAAAAAGTATTAGCATTTATTAAGCTTTACTACTCATAATTATTAATTCAATTTAACCATTTACTGATCACATATTTTCTAGGCATCTCCTATGAGACAGGATCTGTACTGGGTATCTCAGTTGAAAAGTAAAACAGCATGTCCTTCCTGTGCTCAAGGAGACAGCTCTATAAGTGGGGAGCTTTTTAAAAATACGGAATTATGGGAACTATTCATGGAGATTTTTATTAAGTTATATTGAAAAAAGCCTGGGAAGAACTGTGATCTTCTGTCTGGTGATTCATATATGACAGTCTCTTAACATACTTTGAAATATACTTGCCCAAAAAATGGAGAAAGACCTGAATTCTGAGGCAGACCCAGCCATCCCTCCTCATGTGGCTGCGGAGGGAGATATATGGGGAAAAAAAGAAAAAAAAAAAAAAACACAAAAAAAAACAAAGCTGCCAGAAACAAAGTCTCCTGTGCTTTTTTGCTTTTATTTTTTTCTACCACTTCAATTCACATATTATTTTATTCCATTTAATAGTTTTCTGCTGTTAGCCAAAAAAACACAGGATATTTGGATGCTCCATTCCACATATCAGGATCTCCAGGTGAAAACAAATAAACAAAAAAGTGGAGGGCTGCTTTTTCTTCTGTCTTATTTTCATTAATCTATATTTGGAGAATCATCAGACTTGGAAATGAATTGACACAGCAATGTGACCTTAGACAAATCAATTAAGTATCTTGACCCCTGACTTTTTTTTTTTTCATCTCTATACAGCTATTTTTACTAAAGATTTCTTAATGTCCTTCCAGCTCTAGTATTATCTTATTGATTCTAATTTCATTTCAGCTTTATTCATTTTCTTTTTGTCACAAATGTCTTTAATGGGAATCCCTTTAAACAAAAGCTTTGGGATTTTAAAAACATATAATCTTTGATAATGTCTACATTTATCATCCTCATTTTAAATTTATTTTCTTTTGTTTACCACCATTTATTCCTCAACTCTTTAAATCAACTCAGATTGGAAAATATATAAATATAAGTCCAATTCTTTTTTCTTTCCTCTTTGCATTTGCTTTATATGGAAGTCCAGAAAAATTAACAACTTATAAAATGCTTTGTAATAATTATTTCAAATATTGTTTAGTCTAGAGTTTCTAATTATATTTCATTCATTGGAGATTTTGGTTCCAAACATCTCCACCTTTGTAAATGAAGAGGATAGAATTTTAATCAGAAGAATGAGAAAATTAAAATTCTATAATTAGAAAAACTTGAGGATTATTCTAACCAGCAGGCAAAGATTTCTTACAAAACTTCAGAGGAATTGCAGAATTAAAAACAAAAAAAAATTATGTGGCAAGAACTCTTGACTGGATGGATAAATACAGGTAATAGGTATCTTTGAGTTAAAATCGAACCTCAATTTAGATAGATTAATGTAAGAATTAAGAAAATGCTAATGAATTTGATATATAACTAAAATCCTTTCTAGGCTGAAGGAAATAGAAATGAATAGTAGGAGCAAGCCACAGTGAAAGAAACATGTACAATCTGTCTCTGGGTGAGGGGGTTGTCCAGAAAACATCTGACTTCTGTACTGCTTTGTCTCCAAGGATGCAAGTACTCCAACTATCCTAAGGCTAATATAATGCCATCAAGTAAATGGACTTTGTTTATATACATGGAAATTTTTAAAGAAGTCAAAATATATTAAAATTCCTGAAAGCAGCATGATTGATCAATAACTAAATCTATTCACAACTGAGAATTTGCACAACCTGGGCAATGAGTACTTTCTAGGAATAAATTGCTATTCATCCCTAGTGTGTAAATGATTCTTCCAAAATGATTTTAACAGATGTCACAATTTTGTCTATTTCTTCCTGTTCCATCTGCCACTGTCTCAAACTCTCTTTACTTCATTCCCCAGGAACAGCTTTCATCTGCTCTTATTTCCTTTAAATATGTGATAATCTTTGTTCACGGACTCTATTTTCCTAAGATATGGTAGTTCTAATTAATTTTACCTAAGCTGACATCAGGATGATTGGAAAAATTAATAACAGTCTTACACAATGGTCTTTCTTAACACTATGAAATATAATCAGTTTTACCATTTTTATAAATGTCTTTATTTAGAGTAAAGCAGGTGATGATATAGCTTTATCATCAAGGGGCTCACCCTCAATGGTAATTTAAAAAGAGAGGAAATTATTTCTGATATAGGATCCAAACACAATTAAGCGTTTTAACTCATGCATGTAAGAACTGCTTTGTCTCAATCAACTACTGCTCTTCTGTTATACAATGAATTTCCTTCTTTCAAGTATTTTCTAAGAAGCATTCTATTTTTGGCATGAAGTATTGATTTCCTTAAACAAAAATTCATGAAAGTGCATCACAAGCATGTTTAAGAATTTAGATTTATATATGATTTCTGAGCAGGGACTATTAATTTTGGTTGACTTTGAGAGAACATTTGAATTGATTAGCATTAACTATTTTTAAACTAGAGACTGAGTTATCTCATACATATAAGTGTGTACATGCATATGTATTTATGCACTTTTCTTCTCTTTTTTAAATAATGAGAGTAATGGGGCAAGATAAAGACTAAAGAAAATAAGTTTGCATATTTGAACTGTAGTATACAAAAGTAGAACATATTATAAATATACACATATATTAAGCATGATAAGTAATTACTCCAGTATCAGGATGTCTCTGAAAATCTTTCATTGAAAATTGTTTCCTCCTAAATGTGCTGCCACAGTTAACTTGTATCTTTCCCATTGAAACACTATTGCAATATGCTATATTGCTTGCTTGCTCAGTACATATTACTTCAGTAAACTTTGTGACAGCAGGGAGGGAACACATCTCTCTTTTTCTCATTGTTTTTTCTCCAATGCCTTGTCTAGCATAGAAACAGAGTTGTGGCTTCCTAAATACCCATTGAAATAAAGGAGAGGTTTATTTTAGGTCCTGGTAATTCCTGCACAGTCATGCTCAACCTCAACACCGGTAATCTGGTATGCTATTTTTTGTTATCTTTTTTTCTGACAGTGGAATAAGTATTGCAGTGATTTTATATTATTATTTTCCATGTTATTTGCCCTGTCACTTCCACTGGATATCTTAACACCATCTCTTCTATGAATCACTGCAGAGAAGGTTGATGAAAGGTTGATATCTGCTGTCTTAGGAAGTCATTTGTGCACTGCTCAAAGCAATTATAGGTGGGATGATAATCTCTGAAAAATGTCCGTTATCCTTTTGTAAAGTTATTCTGTTATTTATTTCATGTCTCCATTGATGGGCCCACTGTCTCTCAAACTATTCACTAGCCACTTCCTAATTTTATAATCTCCACACCTTTGTAATTTGCCAACACAACAGATCATTAGATGGTTTTCTTGGACTTCATGCTTGATCTCCTTTAATCTATACTTTTAGCTACAAACTTTCATGACAGACAGATCAGACCTGTCATCTTGGATCCTCCATAGTGGCATAATTTTGGCTGTGACTTAAAACGACTGAGAATAGTTTGTAAACTTTAAAATGTATCTGTGATATTTACATATATACCAACTTTTTCTTAAGTACTCTAAAATTCCTTTCCCTTATGAGGGCCAGTTAACCATTCTTATCTAGTTGCATTAAAAAGTGAAAACTATTTTTCATCTCTAAATATGCTATTCTTTTCTACATAAATTAGGATAAAGTGTTTTCTGTTGAAAAGCAAAATTATAAATATATTATCTTCAAATTTACTATGTACTTGTGGGTATTTATGTTAGGGAATGCTTGAATATAATGGAAGATCAACATAAAATCTCCTTTAAGAAACATTTTTAAATCTAAAAGCATGCCTAATAGAAAGCTGAGGCAGTGAAAACAGTGAGAGTTCCTGATAATATTCTTCTTTATGAGTTAAAACAATCAAGAGAAATGTATTATGAATCTGATATTTTCATATTTAAACCAAAATAAACAATATTACATCATGAAACCATGGCTGGTTTTTACTGAGAGTGTTAAAGTGTGGAGAACTCATTATTTTCTCGTAAGGCTTTTTTGTCTGTGGTTACTTTTCAGTTACACTTGATGTCTTTAATAGCAGTGGAAATGTCCATATCTCCCATATCAGTCACATTCCCAATAGCTCACTGTTGAATGTTTGAGTTATTAAGTAAGACCCATTGGCCAAGAATGTGGAGAAAATTAAAGGGTTGTTAGAATAGAAAAAAAAAAGAAGTTGAAAAAATATGTTTAATGAGAAATGTTATACAGTATCATTCTTTAAACTTGACAGAAAAGTTGATCTCACAAAGTAGAAGAGTGGTGACAGTATCATTTTAACATAAGTTGAATATGTACTTAATTTTTAGTAGGAATGGTATATTCTCTTAATTTGTAGATAAAGCTATTTTTATTTTATCAGTTTTTACAGCATTTCCCCTTTCCTATGATCCACTTTACTGTAACTATGTATAAATGTTTATCATTTATTATCTTTTGTATCTTCTTTTTTTATTATATGAATCTCTTGGAGTGAAGTGACCAGATGGTAGACACTTTATATGAGTAGCTGTGATATGGAAGTGCTGGGAAGGGAAGGGCATGGTCCCTTTAAATGATATGGAAGTGGGGAAGGGAAGTTCTGGGTAGAGGAGGGAATGGTCCTTGGATAGGGCTTCACCTCACAGGCCTAGATGAGGATAGGCACTCCTGCCTTCCACCCAAATGTTGCATTTCCCAAGACTATTCAGGGCCTCTATGCCCCCATCCTGTGCCTATAAAAATCTCTGAGACCCTAGCAGGCAGACACACCAGTGGTTAGTTGAGAGGATGTCAAGAGGAGCATGCCGGTGGAAGACACCTGCAGGTCAGCATGTCATCTACCAGCAGAATGAAGCAGAATTTGGCCAGAGCAGTTGGAGAAGCTCCAGGGCCCAACTCTAGGGAAAACCTCTCTCCTGGCTCACTGGTCTGCTGAGAGTTACTTCCACTAAATAAAACTTTGCACTCATACTCCAAGCCCAGGTAAGAGCCAATTCTTCTGGTACACCATGGCAAGAACTTGGGGCACAGAAAGCCCCCTGTCCTCGCAACAAGGTAGAGGATGTAATTGAGGTGGTTAACACAGCCTATAGAGGACAAAACTAAAAGAGCACCCTATAACACACCCTAACTGGGGCTTTAGGAGCTGTAAACATTCACCTCTAGATACTGCCATGGGGTCAGAGCCCCACAGCCTACCTGTCTGTAGGCTCCTGGAGAGGTTTCAGCAACTGAAGAAGAGAGTCACAACTTCTGTCATGTGCCCTGCAAGGGGGACAAGGGAACCTTTCCCATTTCAGTTGCTATCACATTACCTGTATAAGTAGTCATTCCACAACTATTTCCTGAGCTAAATTTAATAGATTTATTACTGATCTTAATGGTAGTTAAAAAATAATTCAAATATAATCACCTTTTATTTTTAATCTGTTATCTAGGACATAACCAAAAGTTAGAAGTTTAATATTAAAAGGAAGATTCTCACACAAACATAGGATAAACATATTTTATGATTACATAGAGCTCATTAATGAGGGAACCAAAAAGAAGGTAAAGCTGGTTTAAAAGGCCTTTTGTGGAACTGGATTTAAAGATAATTTGAGGAGAAATATTAAAATAAGACTGCTAGATAAAAATACAACACTGATTAATGGCCTATAAAACAATATATTAATCTTTTATGTTTTCTTTTCTACCCAGAGAAACCTGTAAGTTGGCATGTAAATTCATACAGCAAAAGTTACATACATATAATAATTGTTCTGTTGGTGTGTTTGTAAGCCAGTGTTCAAGTTTTAATGTTGAAGTTTCAATGTTCAATGTTCAATGCTGAAAGTTCCTTCCGCACTCTTTGATTTTTTTTGAAGTTTTTAATGATGTTTTTAAACAGAGTCAATAAACTCTTAAATAGAGCCTAATAAATGTGTCTGCTTTTTCCCCAACTGTTTATGTGGAAGAAATCTTAACTCCTTTTTCCAAGAGAAAATAACTGCTATCATGTTTGTCTCTCTAGGCTGTGAATGGTAGGCTTGAATTCCAAAATCTAAGGGCCAACCATAAACTGCAACCAGAATGTGTAAGACTTAATGAATTCATTTTTGCAAGAATTTTGCAGTAGAGTTTCGGTAAAGGAATAATAATAAATTATTCACTATTATATACAGACATTGGTGAATAAAGAGTTCGACCTGTATAAGGAGTCTGGAGAACAAAACCAAAAATTTCTTTACCAGAGCCTTGGGGTCGTGGGAGGGTAGAGAGTTACAAGGAGAAACACATGAATACTTGGATTGTTTTAATCTCATTCCAGTAGAATTGAATGGTTGGCCTGCAAGAGCATTGTTAAAGGTCAAAAGTTTACACTGCTCCAAAATAACCTCTGAATATCTAAAAGACAATGTGCAAATGAAGCCCTCCAACATGATTGTATTAATAAATATGTTTAAATGCATATGTACATGCAAAGACATGTTGTCTTATTTGTTAATTTCTTCAAGGCCTTAGGTCTTGTGTTCACTAAATTTTAAAGCATGATATTTTTTATGTATTACTGAATCTAAAAAAGAAAGCAAAAAAGTTATGGAAAACAAAAATAAAATATTTTAAAATATAAACTTAAAAAAGGCATTTTATCAAATTTGATGTATTATGATACTGATGTGTCACATCGAATTTAGTCAGATGTCCTGGTAGGCTTCATTGCCTACATGTTACTATAATTAGAGGTGACAGTTTAGGACATTTTAAGTGTTAAAAGCACAAATAGAAGTAAATTATTTACCATATCAAGAAGGGAGTTCTAAGTCAATTGTTCTGGGCTATCGAATACAAGTGAAAATATTTCTAAGTGCATTAGAAAAAGGAAAAGTTTAGCTCCAAAAGTTGTGCTAATGAGGTACTTTAATTATGCCATCAAATTATATTTGAAAAAGGACTGATCATTTCAATGATGAAAAACATACACCTAAGGGTAAAAGATCACTTTAAACACAACAGGCTTATGTAAGTCTTGTTACAGGATCCAACTTAAAATGTCAAACACAGATTTCATTGTGATGATTATACTGTTCCTTTCCCCAAGGCTTGCTTTGCAACTTTTCTTGCTTTCGAATTTTTATCATATAGAGTTAAGTAAGCATTTAGAGGATTTCACTTGGGATAATTCATTCTTACCATCAGACTCAATTATATGTGCAACAATGGCCTATCTATTCTGACACTATCGGAAATGAAGAAATGTTTTTTGTTTTTTTTTTCCTTTCACCAGAGCATAAGCTTCTTAAAATCTTTGTTTAAAACACATTGAGTCCCTACGCATTTCTCAGCTACTTTGTACTGTTTGGTGACATGCTCATCATAAAAAGTGTCTTCCATCCTACAGATTCAAATAAAAAATTTCTATAGACCATAGGCAAAAATTAGTGGTTAGATCATCTGTTAGAGTATCTGCCAGTGATAAGGTTATTTCAATGTCCATATTGATTTTAAATGTTAAAAAATAAAATTCTACAACCCTTTTCTTTGGAGGGTAAATTTAAAAATAAATTTGACCTCTTTACGGCAATAATTTAAAAATTACTTTTGTTGCAAATGAGATCTGGAAGAACTACAGAATGTTAGAATTTAAGTTTTTTTAAAGTATTGAGTCTACTATATCATTTCGTTTATGTATTTTATATTGGGATGAAGATACATTTAAGCAGGGACAAGTAATATTTCTACACTATAAATTGAAAAGATAAAAGTGTGACTCTCCAATGGGTAGATGTAAACTGATATCACAAGTTTTAATATCTAGACTCATAATTTTTAAAAAATATATTATTAAAAGAAATAAAGAAAATTATTATTTGAATAATAAAGTAACCTTTGCTCCCCCAGGCTCACTTCCCATGTCCTTTTTTATTTTTTCATACTTTCTATTTTAAATGATTTCATCTTCATCTTCTTTTCTGTTCACAATATCTCATGCTTTTAACTATGTTGGTAGCCATATTTCTTCTTTGTTAATATATATCTGAAGATATCATACAGTGACCTTTAGATTGCACCATTTTCATTGATAACATCCTAGTTCCCAGCCCCAAGTTCCTCCTTCAAACAATATTGGGTCTAATTATCAAAGGATTATAAATCATTTTATTATATGGACACATGCACAAGTATGTTCATTGCAGCACTGCTTACAACAGCAAAAGCATGGAACCAACCCAAGTGCCCATCAATGATAGACTGGATAAAGAAAATGTGGCATATATACACCATGGAATACTATGCAGCCATAAAAAAGGATGAGTTCATGTCCTTTGCAGGAACATGGATGAATCTGGAAACCTCATTCTCAGCAAACTGACATAAGAATAGAAAACCAAACACCACATGTTCTCACTCATAAGTGGGTGTTGAACAATAAACACATGGACGCAGGGAGGGGAACATCATACAGTGGGGTCTGTTAGGGGGTGGGGGGAGCTAGGGGAGGGATAGCAGCGGGTAGGGGGATTTGGGAGGGACAACATTAGGAGAGCTACCTAGTGTACCTGACAGGGGGATGGATGCAGCAAACCACCACAATGGTATGTGTATACCTGTGTAACAATCCTGCATAATCGGCACATGTACCCCAGAACTTAAAGTATAATAATAATGAAAAAAAGAAAGAATTTGAGAGAGTAGAAGAATGGGGAAAAGGTTTGGTGTTCAGGACAAGGGATATATGTTACAGTGTCACAGTTGAGAGTATTAGAAAGTGTATAGAACTAAATTGGCCCCATAAGAGTGGAGGGCCCTAATGTTTAATAGCAATAACCCATACATAGCAGAATTTCAGATGACAATCTTATTTTCAGATTAATTGATTACTTGGCTTGACTTTATTGGATAATTTTACTATTCTGGACTTGCGTGACCTATAAAATATTGGCAAATTCATTTTTAAAACAGAGAACTCTAAAGAGATGACTAGGATTCCATATGATATTCGGAGTAGCAGAAAAGTCCCTAATTAAACAGTGGTCACAAACTATTGGAAGCAAATCTAATAAAGTTCACTGTATATACCTGGAATACATGGATTTGGGAAGAAAAGCTTAATCAAGCCATATAGACCTAAAATAAACAAAAATAAGGGCATTTTCAACTTTGTCTTTCTATATGTTTTTTTCTGCTAATTTTTCATTTTTCCCCAGATTCAGCTCATTACTTGCCACTCTAGTCTTCTCTTTCTTTTTTCCTTATTCAAACTTAGTTAATCACAGGTTTTTGCCTAATCAACTTAACTATTTATTGACCTCCTAATGAAGGCATTTTGCATATATTAGAACCATGTTCTACTCTTTTTATCCTAGAGTGACTTATTTTCAAGTTCTAGGCAATGGGTAGCTTTGTTCTGCAGCTAAAATATTCTATGATACTATGATCAAAAGGGCCAGGAACAAAAGTGAATGGACTTTTAATGTTGAGAATGTGGGGTTCACTAAGTGTGTTGGATTCTATATGTAAAATGTAAGCTTTGGAGTCAAGATTGGAATACGGATTACAATTGGAATAACACAATTACAATCTACCATTACAAAGTAAAAGTAATCTCCCATTAAAACCACAATTGCTTTTGCACAAATCTAATATTTGCTATATGTGATCTTAAATATGAAGATATTACTAGAGATTTAGTCATATTTAAAATGAAAACTAATATGAATGATAAAGGTGTATTGTTTATCTAATTAGATAATGTATGAAAGTATTTAGCACAATGTTTGAAATATAATATATTTTTAATAAATATATTACTAGTTAGTATTTTACACTTGAGGTATATATTTTTGGAAAGAGTATGCAATAAATGTTCAACAGTTATTTTCTCCAGTTTTCTTTGATGGAATAATATGTTTTTAAGTTTGAATCAATGAGGTTTAGGTGAATCTGATCCATCTGCAAATTCTAGAAGTTGTCCATGATTCAATTCTGACTAGTATATTCTACCTGGAGGACCACGGGTTTAGACTGACTTTTCCCCATGATGTGTGTCCTCTTTTGAACGGTGACGCAAGACAGACAAAGGAGGGGTGTCTTGTGAAGGACCACTCAGGTGCCCACCTGGCTGCGCCCCTTGCAGGAAATTAGGCACCTCTTAGCAGTCAGGGGTTGGTATCATCCCCTGACTTGGAACGAGCTCAGCTTGCGCTCAGCTGGATACCGCCATAAGCCATATGAAGTTCGCCACGGAAATGCAGGCTCGGGCCCTGTCAAGCTCCACAGTTTGCACCGTGGAGCTATAGACTGGAGGTTTGAGAGCAGGCTCTTGAGCTCCCCACACACTCACACACTCAGACACTAACCTGACAATCCACCTGCTGTCTCCAAATGGAGACCCTGGGAGGTGATCAGCCTCCCCTTCCGTCCCTGGACGGGCCTGGCCAGAGTCCGTCTCAGGACTTTACCTTATCCCGGGTTCCCCTCAGTTCAGTCCGTCTCCCCCGCGAGTCCGGCGAGCGGCAACACCGGAGCAGCAGCAGTTCCCCTTCCGGGGAAGGAGGCCCTGCCGAAGCTTACGGGGGAGGCCCTGCCTCGTTCCCCAGCAGGGAACAGGCGAGCTGTCCATCCTTTCCGACCCCAAACCGGTGGCTCGAGGGGCCAGGGTGGCTGAGTTTCCCAGTCAGGGAACCAAATGTTGTGGACATTTTTACCTGACAAGAAACCCAAGCGGCACTGAGGGAAACGGAGGAACACACTTTATTAAGACAGCGGGCCCGGAAGGGTTCACACCCAAAAGTCTGGACCCCGGCTAAGAAAAGTACAGAGTTTTTATAGGTGAAGGGGCAGGAGAAGTAACTCAGAACTTTAGACTGCGAACGCAGCAGGTTTTAGACGACGCGGCAGTTTTCCTTAAGATTTTTAGCTAGTAAGCAATAAGCAGAGGTACAGAAGCAGAAAGAGGCAGTTATTAGCAGAAAAACAGGGGCAGCTTTAAAATAGCGAAGTTGCTATGTGCTAACAAAATGCTGGGTGAAACTTCCACTTCATGACCAGCAAGGGGTGCGTGGGGAGACATTATTTGTGTTTCTCTCTCTGGCCTAATACTTCACATTGGTCTTGGACAGAGAAACATGAAGATAATTTAAATGAAGTCTAGCAAGCTGCACTGAGTTCTTACTTCTTTTATTAAGAGACAGAAACCTCCAGGTTGTAGTTTTGATTCAGGAATCAAATGACTGAATAAAATATCTACCCCTTTATTATGAATTTATAATGCAAATAGAAATAAAATTACTACAATAAAGTGTGAATTTTTAGGTGTTGAATTTTAAGAGAAGCTACAAGCCTGGTCAAGAAAAGGCTATTATTGCTCAACCATTAAGGCAAATTCTGTGATGTGAATCTGAAGTTGCTAGTGACTAAAGTATGGCATTTGCCAAGAAGAAAAGTTTTCTCAATACCTTTCTGAAATATGATCAACATAAAAAAAAAAAAAACAAAAAAAACAAGACCCATCTATCTGATGTCTTCAAGAGATCCATCTCACGTGTAATGATATCCATAAGCTCTAAGCAAAGGCTTGGAGAAACAGCTACCAAAATTGAAAAACATAAATATTCTTACATAAGATGAAACAAACTTCAAACCAATGATAGTAAAAAAGAACAAAGAAGGGCATTACATAATGATAAAGGTTTCAATTCAACAAGAAGATTAAGTTACCTTAATTATATATACACCCAATATCGGAGCACTCAGATTCATAAAACACATACTTCTAGAGCTACAAAGAGCCATAGATAGCCCACACAATAATTGTGGGGAACTTCAATGACCCACCAACAATATTAGAGAAATCAAGGCAGAGAACTTCCACAGAAATTCTGGACTTAAACTTGATACTTGGTCAGCTGGACCTAATAAACATCTATGAAATTTTCCCTTCATCAACCACAGAATATACATTCTTCACATCTGTATGTAGAATATATTTCAAGATGGATCACATGCTCAGCCATAAAACAAGTCTCAATAAATTAAAAAAAAAAAAAAGAAGTCTTACCAACCACATTCTCAGAACACAGAGGAAAAAAATATAAATCAATGCCAAGAATATATCTTAAAATCACAAAATTGCAAAGAAATTAAACAACTTGTTCCTGAATAACTTTCAGGCAAACAACAAAATACAGGCAGAAATCCAAAATATTCTTTGAAATAAATGAAGAGAGAAACAACATACTAAAATTTCTGGGATATGGTGATAACAGTGTTAAGAGGAAAGTTTATAACTAAACATACTACCTAAAAAGTTAGGAGTATCTCAAACTAATGATCTAACACCACATCTAAAGGAACTAGAGAAAGAATAAAAAGCTAACTTCAAAGTTGGTGGAAGAGTAGTAGTAACTAAAATTATTATGGAGCTGAACGAAATTGAGACCCAAAACCCATACAAAGAATCAAGAAAACCAAAAGTTTATTTTTTGAAAACATAAACAAGATTGTTAGATCACTAGCTAGATTAGCAGAGAACAGAGGGAAGATCTAATTAAGCACAAACAGAAATGACAGAGGTAACATTACAACCAATCACACAGAAATACAAAAGATCGTCAGAGTCTGTTATAAGTACCTCTATGCACACAAACTAGAAAATCTAGAGGAAATAAATAAATTTCTGTGAACATGCAATCTTCCAAGATTGAATTGGAAAGATATTGAAACACTGAACAGACCAAGATAGAGTTCTGAAATTAAATCAGTGATATTAAAAAAAATAATAGTAATAAAAATAACAACAAAAAAAAATACTAATCAAAAAAAACTCCTGGACCAAATGGATTTACAGTCAAATTCTACCAGATGTATGTAGATGAGTTGTTATGAATTCTACCGAAACTATTTCAAAAAATGAAGAAGAAAGTACTCCTCCACAACTCATTTTACAAAGCCAGCATCACTCTCATAACAACACCTGGAAAGACAAAACAACAACAACAACAAAGAAAACTGCAGGTCAATATCTCTGGTTAATGGAGATTCAAAAATCTTCAACCAATTACTAGGAAACTAGATTCAAGAGCATATCAGTTAATTCATCATGATCAAGTAGGCTTCATTCCTGGGATGCAAGGTTGGTTCAACACGTGTTTTAACAAATGCGATTTACCAAATAAAGAGAATTAAAAACAAACAAACAAAAAAAAAACATGACCATCTCAAGAGATGCAGAACAATATTTCTATTAAATATAACATCTGTTCATGATAAAAATTCTCAGGACACTAGGTATTAAAGAAAATTGCCCCCATTTTTATATCTTTCCTCATTTCTCATATGGGCATTTAGTGCTATAAATTTCCCTCTAGACACTGCTTTAAATGTGTCCCAGAGATTCTGTTATGTTGTGTCTTCATTCTCATTGGCTTCAAAGAACGTCTTTATTTCTGCCTTCATTTCGTTATTTATCTAATAGTCATTGAGGAGCAGGTTGTTCAGGTTCCATGTAGTTGTTAAGTTTTGAGTGAGTTCCTTAATCCTGGGTTCTAATTTGATTGCACTGTGATCTAAGACGCTGCTTTTTATGATTTCCATTCTTTTGCATTTGCTGAGGAGTGATTTACTTCCAATTATGTGGTCAATTTTAGAGTAAATGTGGTGTGGTGCTGAGAAGAATGTATATTCTATGGATTTGGGGTGGAGGGTTCTGTAGATGTCTATTAGGTCCGCTTGGTCCAGATCTGAGTTCAAGTACTGTATATCCTTGTTAATTTTCTGTCTTGTTGATCTGTCTAATACTGACAGTGGAGTGTTAAAGTCTCCCACAATTATTGTATGGGAGTATAAGTCTCTTTGTAGGTCATGAAGAACTTGCTTTATGAACCTGGATGCTCCTGTATTGGGTGCATATATATTTAGGATAGTTAGCTCTTCTTGTTGCATTGATCCCTTTACCATTATATAATGCCCTTCTTTGTCTCTTTTGATCTTTGTTAGTTTAAATTCTATCTTATCAGAGACTAGGATTGCAACTCCTGCTTTTTTTGATCTCCATTTTCTTGGTAAATCTTCCTCCATCCCTTTATTTTGAGTCTATGTGTGTCTTTGCCCATGATATGGGTCTACTGAATACAACACACACCAATGGGTCTTGACTGTTTATCCAATTTGCCAGTCTGTGTCTTTTGATTGGGACATTTAGCCTATTTACATTTAAGGTTAATATTGTTATGTGTGAATTTGATCCTGCCATTTTGATGCTAGCTGGTTATTTTGCCCCTTAGTTGCTGCAGTTTTTTTTTTTATTATTATTATGTCAATGGTCTTTACAATTTGTGTGTTTTTGCAGTGGCTGGCACCAGCTGTTCCTTTCCATGTTTAGTGCTTCCTTTAGGAGCTCTTGTAAGGCAGGTGTAGTGGTGATGAAATGTCTTAGCAATTGCTTGTGTGAAAAGGATATTATTTCTCTTCCACTTATGAAGCTTAGTTTGGCTGGAAATGAAATTCAGGGTTGAAAGTTCTCTTCTTTAAGGATACTGAATAATGGCCCCCATTCTTTTATGGCTTGTAGGGTTTATGCTGTGAGATCTGCTGTAAGTCTGATGGGCTTCCCTTTGTGGGTAACCTGATCTTTCTCTCTGGCTGCCCTTAGCATTTCTTCCTTCATTTCAACCCTGGTAAATCCGATGATTATGTGCCTTGGGATTGCTCTTCTTGAGGGATATTTTATGGTGGTATCTGTATTTCCTGAAGTTGAATGTTGGTCTGCCTTACCAGGTTGTGAAAGTTCTCCTGGATAATATCCTGAAGAGTGTTTTCCAACATGGTTTCATTCTCTCAGTCACATTTTGGTACACTGATCAAACATAGATATGGCCTTTTCACATAATCCCATATTTCCTGAAGGCTTTATTCTTTTTTTTTCCCCCACTATTTTTTCTCTAATCTTGGAGAGACATAACTAAAAAAAAAAAAAAAAACTTCAGGCAATATACTGTACTGGCAAACTGAATCCAACAGCACATCAAAAAGCATATCCATCATGATTGAGTTGGCTTCATCCCTGAGTTGCAAGGCTGGTTTAACATACACAAATCAATAAATATAATCCATCACATAAACAAAGACAAAAACCACATGATTATCTCAATAGATGCAAAGAAGATCTTGGTCTTAATTCAACAGCCTTTATGCTAAAAACAATTAATAAACTAGGTATTGATGGAATGTATCTCAAAATAATAAAAGCTAATTATGACAAATCCACAGCCAATATCATACTGAATGGGCAAAAACTGGAAGCATTCCCTTTGAAAACAGGCACAAGACATGGGTGACCTCTCCTACCACTCCATTCAATATATTCTTGGAAGTTCTGGCCAGGGCAATCAGGCAAGAAAAATAAATAAAGCGTATTAAATTAGGAAAAAAGAAATTCAAATTGTCTCTATTTTCATATGACACGATTGTATATTTAGAAGACCCCATCATCTCAGGCCAAATTCTCCTTAAGATGATAAGCAACTTCAGCAAAGTCTCAGAGTACAAAATCAATGAGCAAAAATCACAAGCATTCCTACACACCGATAATAGATAAACAGAGGGCCAAATAATGACTGAACTCCCATCCACAATTGCTACAAATAGAATAAAATAACTAGGAAAACAACTAACAGGGATATGAAGGACCTGTTCAAGGGGAACTACAAATCACTGCTAAATGAAATCAGAGAGGGCACAAACAGATGGAAAAATATTCCATGTTCGTGGTTAGGAAGAATCAGTATCATGAAAATGGCCATACTGTCCAAAGTAATTTATAGATTCCATACTATCCCCATCAACCTACTATTGACCTTCTTCACAGAACTGAAAAAATCACCTTAAACTTCATATGGAACCAAAAGAGAGCCAACATTGCCAAGAAAATCTTAAGGAAAAAAAAAGCTGAAGGCACCACACTACCTGACTACAAGCTACGCTACAAGGCTACAGCAATCAAACAGCATGATACTGGTACCAAAACAGAGATATATACCAAGGGAACAGAATAGAGGACTTGGAAGTAACACCACACAGTTACAACCATCTGATCTTTGACAAACCTGATGAAAAAAAGAAATGGGGAAATGATTTTCTATTTAATAAATGGTGTTGAGAAAACTGGCTAGCCATGTGCAGAAAACAGTAACTGGACCCCTTCCTTACACCTTATAAAAAAATTAACTCCATATGGATTAAAGATTTAAACATAAGATCTAGCACCATAAAAACCGTAGAAGAAAACCTAGGCAATACCATTCAGCACATAGGCATAGGCAAGGACTTCATGACCAAAACACCAAAAGTAATGGCAAAAACCAAAATAGACAAATGGGAACTAATTAAATTTAACAGCTTCTGCACAGCAAAAGAAACTATCATTAGAGCGAACCAGCAACAAACAGAATGGGAAAAAAAAAAGCTTGCAAGCTACCCATCTGACAAAGGGCTAATATTCAGAATCTACAAAGAACATAAACAAATTTACAAGAAAAAAACCAAACAACTCTGTCAAAAAGTGGGCGAAAGATATGAATAGACACTGTTCAAAACAAGACAATTATGCAGCCAGCAAAATATGAAAAAAAGTTCATCATCACTGGTCATTAGCGAAATGAAAATCAAAACCACAATGAGATACCATCTCACGCCAGTTAGAATGGTAATCATTAAAAAATCAGGAGACAACAGATGCTGGAGAGGATGTGTAGAAGTAGGAACACTTTTACACTGTTGGTGGGAGTGTAATTTAGTTCAACCTCTGTGAAAGACAGTGTGGCGATTTCTCAAGGGCCTAGAAATAGAAATATTTGACCCAGCAATCCCATTACAGAGTACATTCCCAAAGGATTATAAATCATTCTATTATAAAGACACATACACATATATGTTTATTGTGGCACTGTTTATGACAGCAAAGACTTGGAACCCACTCGCATCAAAGATAGACCGGATACAGAAAATTTGGCACGTGTACACCATGGAACACTATGCAGCCATAAAAAGGACGAGTTTTTGTCCTTTGCAGGGAAATAGATGAAGCTGGAAACCATAATTCTCAGCAAACTGACCTAAGAACAGAAAACCAAACACTGCATGTTCTCACTCCTAAGTCAGTGTTGAACAACGAGAACACATGGACACAGAAAGGGGAACATCACACACCAGGGTCTGTTGGGGTGTTGAGGGGCTAGGGGAAGGATAGCAGGGTGTGGGAGGATTGAAGAGGGATAACATTAGGAGAAATACCTAATGTAGATGATGGGGGTATGGGTGCAGCAAATCACCATATCATGTGTATATCTATGTAAAAATCCTGCATGATCTGCACATGTACCCCAGCACTTAAAAGTATAGTAATAATTTTTTAAAAAGAAAAAAGAGACAGTCCCCCAAATAACAGCCATCTATGACAAACTCATGGCTGACATCATACTGAACAGACAACAACTGGAACCAATCCCCTTGAGAGCTGGAACAAAATATTGATGGCCACTCTCACCAATCCTATTCAACATAGTTCTGAAAGTGCTAGCCAGAGAAATCAGCAAGAGAAAAAAAAAAGGCATCCAAATAG